GTGTGCCTTGGCTGATTTCATTGTAATACACGTTTCAAAATGATGCCGAAGTAACAACATACTGATACCGGTTAGTAAAAACCATGAATTAATGCTTTGACAAGTCTGCAGACAGACAGCAGGCGAAAAACCTTTTAAAATGCGTGTTTTCTGAATGGAGATCGGCTAAGCTAACGCAGTATATGCTCCGACCGTTGACACTCACAACAACGGCCTATATAGACATAAATAAACCAGTGACTGTATTCACCATGACACAGACAGTCTGTGGTTTGTACTTGTTTAACTTTTGTCTAGTTTCTGAACAGATATGAGGAGCTGTGAGCTCTGAGTGCTAACAGCTAACGGCTGATGTTGGTTTTGTGTTTCGCATTGAAGATGACGTCACGGCTCCGCCTACACTGTGTTACTAAAGTTACTGCCCCAGTTCCTAAACTTTAATGGAAACGCAGCATAAAGTGAGCCTGGCCTATCAAGGCCTAACAAGCCCTAACTATACCGTACTAAGCCGTGCAAGGCCCTGCAGTGGAAATGCGCCATTAGAGATGTGTTAGAAATGTCCCGAATCTCAGCATAACACTTACAATGTGTTTAAACGCTAGCCAATAGAAGCACAAGTGTTACATAATGATGTCACTATGTTACAGAAGAAAACAAAGGGCTCCAATGAAGGCATTTCAGGCAGGGGGGAGTGTGTAGGAAAGAAACTCCCTCTGGAGGAACTTTGGGATTTTAGCCTTTGCAGACCATTTAAATGCACAAAAAACGATTAATTGTTATACCTGCATGTACATACTTTTAACTAAGTAACTTTCTTAATACAGGACTTTAACTTTGTCCGGTATTATGTTTACTTAAGTGAAGGTGAATACTTCCTCCACCAATGGTTGTAAGAAACACTACTGTACATCATATGTACTGTATGCCAGAAATACAAAAAGGGACCTATTCAACAGATAGTAGAAGCCAGCATTTGTACGTATTCCATGTCTGTATGGGGCTTAAAACTTAACCTATCTCACTCTGTGCTTATTTCACTCTCTCTCTTCTCTCACACACACAGACACACACATACACACACACACGCGCGCGCGCGCGCACACACTCACACACACACACACACACACACACACACACACACACACGCACACACACACACACCAACCCATTCACACACCAGAGCTTATCCAGTGGGAAGGACACTGGTTGGGGGGGCGTGGGGGGGGCATGCACTGGTATGCCACTTTACTTGTTTGCCCAATTGTCATTTCTGTATTTCTGGAGGTAGAATGGGTGAAACGAGGTTCGAGGGGTATATTGTGCATGGGGATTCGGGATAAGTAGAAATTCCGTCCACTTAAACGGTTTGATTCCCAATATCACTGAAGTGGTTAGTGGTCCAACATATCCTTTCTTACAAAGCCAAACAAAAGAAAAATCTCTTCAGCAGGCCGGTCTCTTTTATTCCATTTGCCCTCACCAGAAATCCAGGCTCTACTCATTTAACCTCACAATACTATGTAAATACTACGCAGAGCAATATAGCCGGACGCTCCCCTTTGTGAGCCCTTAATTGTTTCCCATCATTAGCAATGCACCCGGCACTCTGTTTGTTTATTGTTTGGGGGAATGGTGAGTCGCTTGGGCCGATATGGGTGACAGGAAGACGTATGGGGGGTAGGGAACTCACAATTAAAGAGTTAAAGGCAACCCTAGCAGCGAATTCAGAGTCGTGGCCCTGACTGATTATTTTCTGTCTCCACATTTGCTTCACTCTCTCAAATGGGCTACAAAGAAAGGACATGGTTTCAGACAGGCAACCAGGACC